GAGGAATGAAAGACATACCAGTGGGATGCGAAAGTCAAGGATGAGACGTATTGCGAGTAGCTGTCTCCTGTGCCTGATCCTGTGACCAGCACAAGATCGATCCTCTCCAGCTTCCTCTCCTCCTCCTCCTCCTCCTCCTCCTCTCCACATATAGTCGAATCTCCCTCCACCCTCGCCCCTCTTCCCTGCTTGGACGGGATGACCAAGAACGGCTGTTCCCGCATGGACAAGGATCTTGCTGGCAAGGCGGCGGGAGGGAACTTGCCGTATTCTTCGTCTAGCAGCGGCTCAAACCTGTAGGCGATAGGATCCGTAGGATGGAAGATGTTGAAGAATTTCGCTCCTCCTGGCAGAGAGAACTCAGTGGCTCCTTTGGGCCATGACTCCGATAGGATGTCCCCCCTGACCTGTAGCGCACAGTCACACAGCTCAGCAGTAGGCTAGGTAGGTCTCTCACAGTCAGGAACATGGCGATCGGCGAACCCACCGCAAACAGGTTGTCAACCTTGAAGTCCAGCTTCGGCCAACGCCACGACTCCTCAAGGTCACCCGCTCCGCACTCCTCTCCGAGCCCCTCTCCTCCTTGGCCCTGGAAGTCTCCCCCCTCCCCCTCCTGCTCGGTCTGCTCCACCTGATTGGCTAGGAGGTCGAAGGCGATGAGCGAACCGAGGGAGTGGCAGAAGAGAGAAACTTTCCCGCTAAACTTGGGATACTTGGCCACATACTCCTTGTACTTAATATTCAAAAGGTTGGCCACCGCATCCAAGATTTTGTACTTGTACAGTGGGCTGGTGTAGTAGAGAGTGTCGTATGTTGACTCGCATGCCATGTCACGCAGAGCGCGGACAGTGCCGAGCATGATCTGCGACAAGATCTCCTTCGGAACCCTTGGAACGATCCTGTGCCAGTCTATCACATCCACGGCCATCGTCATCGGCCTCTCCTCAAGGTGTTTCCTCGCCATCTGTTCGCTGTTCTTCCTCATCGTCTGCAGGTACTCGTTCTGCACGTTCTCCTTCACAGCAACTCCGTGGATGCAGATGAGAAGATGGTCAATCAGCGCGTCCTCTGGTAACATGCCTGCATCTTTTGCTTCCACCGCAGGCCCTTCGTTCCCTCCTTTCCTGTCTTTGCCCTTCACGTCCATCTCCCTCTGCAGCGCATCGTCAAGGCTGCTGAAGCTTTCATTGAGGTTGTCGTCTGCGATGGCCTTGACGAACGGACACTCTGCGTTGCAACGGCAATGCTCATACATTGGGTTATCATGCTTGTCCCAGCTGTACAGAGCTCTGTTGCAGCTGAAGCACACGCAGCGGTCGACATGCTCGGCATCTGGGCAGTAGTAGAAGCCAGCTTCAGCAAGATCCTTCTCTGACAGGGGATAGAGACGTTCCTTGGGGAAGGAAGCTGATGTAGATGGCGAGATCCTCCACTTGAGCTGGAACGATTCTAGCCTTCCTTGCACTGTGTCCAGATCTCTGAATGGGACGATCCTTCCGAGGGAGAAAGCAGCGAAATCAACCTCAACCATATCATGATGCGAGTGTCCATAGCCTCTACGGGAGTGGCTCATTGTAGTTCGTCGGGAACGAGTCTGATCTGTCGTTACGTGGCCATACCTTGCGAGGAGGCGTTGTTATAGATCGAGTCTTGTTTCTTTCACCAAACTTCTCGTGCATTCATGCTTTTCCTCGGATCCTTGCATCAATTTCAGAGGAGCTGCTTCGCGTTTACGCCAACTAGCCTCAACGAGATCTTATCTTGCTATCTACGTCCCCACTGGGGATGTCAGAAGGATCGTTCTCGACTGATCTAGGTCTTCTCGATCTTTCTCCTAGCTCTTCTCCTCAATCCTTTCGCCATGTTCCCCTCTGTGTCTAGCGTCTTCATCCCCTTCCTCCCTTCCCCTTCCTCCTTCCCCTTCCCCTCACCCTTCCACCACCCACCTCAGCTTCGTGTTGCCCGACATGGAAATCGCCTAAAACGTTATATGTATAAAACTGTTTAACCAGTGATAAATAAAATTATACATTAAAAGTTAGTTAACAACAACTTTGTATCATAATGGCCAAACCAATATAGGGCACCGGTACACTTTTAAAATATACATAAAACAAATCCGTTACGGATGGTACATTGCCCGTTACTGTCGCTGACGCAGGCGCTATGCTGAAGGGAGGAGGAACGAACTAGGACCGAAGAGAAGGGAAGCGAGGGAGTAGAAGAGGGCAGGAGAGTTGGGAAGGGATAGAGAGCTAAGGAGTGATGGACAAGGATAGATGGTGAGAGCACCGAAGCAAACGGTCGTTGTGATTTCGCACTTGCAGCCAGATCGCATGGTCGAGGAACAAGGTGATGAAGTAAGACAGAAAGTGATCAGGAAAGCAGACGATATGAGAGAAACAGTGATGTAGAAACCTGTCTTGGCTGATTCTATACGTGAAGACTTCTTAAACAGTGATGTAGAAACCTGTCTTGGCTGATTCTATACGTGAAGACTTCTTAAACAGTGATGTAGAAACCTGTCTTGGCTGATTCTATACGTCAAGGCTTCTTAACGACACTCGATGATTCTAAAAGCGTTCTCTCAGGTCACCTCGGCCGAAAACCCGAGGATTCATTGAGAGATACTATCACCCTGCTGAACGGATAAGCCTTCAGTAGCTAGTTATCAGCTCACCATGATCAAGGGGATTCTGGTGATCAATAATCATGGCAAGCCTCGTCTAACGAAGTTCTACGAGCATCTGGTAAGAGGTACTTGATGTTGGCTCAGTATGTGATGCCCCGCGTTCTTTCCAGCCTGTGGAGCGACAACAGCAGATGATAAGGGAATGTTTCACTCTGATCTCAAAACGTTCTGATCGCGTCTGCAACTTTCTTGAAGATGTCGGGGCGTAAGTTGACTGGAGGAAGGACCGGTCGTTTGCCACTGTCCTGACCGTCATGGGTTGCAGGTGGTCGAAGGACACGAAGCTTGTTTATCGCGTTTATGCCACCCTCTACTTCATCTTCGTCGTCGATGGCTCAGAGTCCGAACTTGGTAGGCTTGTCTCGTCTCACTCTTGTGTCTCACTCGCCATTGCAGGAATTCTTGACCTCATCCACGTATTCGTTGAGAGTTTGGATCACGTAATAACCTTTCCAGCTTGTCTCCCCTGCCCCTGCATGCGATGTTGAGACTGTTGTGCAGGTTTTCGAGAACGTCTGTGAGCTGGACTTGATCTTCCACACCGACAAGGTCTGCATGCGAGATGTCGGCTCCTCCTCGCTCCTCATCCTCCTCAGGTTCATCATATCTTGGATGAAATCGTGATGGGCGGGATGGTGCTGGAGACTAATCTGCAGGAGATTCTGACAGCGGTAGGTGGAGTCGATCATGTTAGCAAGGGAATGAGTGATGAGCAGGTGAAGGAGCAGGAAGAGCTAGAGACCAAGGGGAGCAAAGTTGCATCAGCCAAGTTGAAGCTGAAGAATCAGCTGCGGTAAGTTGATGATGATTCAGAGAGCAGCTGGTGATGATGGAAGGGAGAGGGTTAGAGATGATGGTATGATGGGGATGATCTTGGGACATCAAGAAACGAGAGCAGATATTGAAGTTGTTTGGCAGCGAGTGACCGGTCTGCGGGAGTTGCAAGGAGAGTCTGCGGTGCCCGACGAGGGAGGGCGGGGGGGGGGGGGGGGTGTTGGAAGGGAAAAAAAAAAGGCAATCTTGTCATTTTCTGTTTGTTCTATCAATTACAAGTCATGGCTGCAGTCGGAGTGGGGTTCAGCTCATGTCCTTGCTCAGAGGCGTCAACTTCCCTTACACCCCTTCCTCCTGCTCACCTTCCGATAGCCCACGCGCTCAGTAGCGAAATTCCGAAGTACCAGGCGGCCTGCGGAAGCATCAGCGGCCCCGTCATGCTTGGTCACCCGTACCATGGTACGCTTCATCCTCGCTCTCGCCCCTTCTCTCCCCCCCTCCGCAGTGCAGTCGACAGTGAGCGCCATTGATGCAGTAGCACCACTGCTGCCAATAGGATGTTCTTGTTGAAGCTTTGGAGGAGAGGAGGGAGGAGAGGAGGAGGGGAGAGGAGGAGAGGGAGGAGGAGGAGAGGGAGGAGGAGGGTCGACAGCTAGCATGCCTCCAATTCTGGTCTTTTGATCTAGCAGTGCAGAAATCTGTAGGTGGATGACGATCAGAACAAATCATGTGAAGGAGAGGAGAGCGGAGGACATCTAAGAGGAGGAGCAGATGGGGGTAAAGAGTAGCAGGAGAGTAGCAGGAGGAAGCGAGTGAAAGAGAGGGAGGAGGGAGATGGGATGGGAAGGGAGGAGTTGCTGGAAGGATGTAAGGAGAGTTGAGCTGACCTGTGTCTTCAGATCATTCACTTCTGCCCTCAGCCCGCTTTCTCCTTCCAACGTTGACCGAATTGCTGGGGAGAAATCAGAAGAAGAAAGGCGATGTAGGAGGAAGAGGAGGAGAGGGAGAAAATGCAGGGCAGTTGAGCAACGGGAAGAGAAGGTACCAGTGAGATTTGATTGGACGATAATTCTTTCCCTCGTTCGCAGCAGATACGTCATTCTGCAAGGAGAATGAATGCAGTGAAGATGAGCACTATGCAGTCATGCTAACAAGAAGATTATGCTGTTCGCAAACAAGATGCCGATGGTACTCCACATAGAAAGTTGTCGTATCCTGTCAGTCCTGTTGTTTTTGAAGTGTACACAAGTGGTCAAAAATGTTGATCTCCTTAAGTTTCAACTACCATAATTGTTCTTCGTGGAATCGTTTCCGAAGTCCTTCCATGAGTTCTCTACAAGGTTATTCATTGTGGGACGAGCAGACAATAGAGCATATCGGCATACCTCAGAGCAGATTCCACAGCAGCCTCCCTGGGAGTTTTGCATCAGTCTTCAGCATGATGTACAACACAAGGAGGGTCGTCTCCTCCACTCACGAATTTCGAATCTTTCTTTGAAACTCATGCAGAGAAATTCCCAGATTGCGCTGGAAAAAAGAATTCAGCAAACGATACAACCCTGCATGATGATGCGATTCAAAGATATCAATCGTTTCATGTCTCACTTCTTGAGCAAGTAAATCTTGGTATCGGCAGAACTGTATCTCGTCAGTACAGCGATGGCATTCACCTCAACTTCACCTGCGCATCCGTCCAAGCATGCTTTGTCACTGCAAGAGCTGTGATTTCATTCTGCGTCCTCCTGCAGGGATGGGATGGTGAGTTCAAGATACCGACAAGTCTGTCATGCCTATGCTCCTGGTCTGTCTTATCGAAATCAGATCTTGCGGCTCGATATTCCTCCTGGAGAACATGTTGGGATGGCGAACAGCAGCATTTTCACTGCAGGTCTTCACGATCTTAAGCCATCAAACTCACTTGTGACTTGCGAAGATGGACTTCAAGGTCAGTGATGGCGTGTTTCAACTTCTCCACCTAGCCGCCTTCACATGTTGAAATGACATGACAGATACCTCACCTCCGTCCACCCACTCTTGTCGTTGATGTAGAGGATTGCTTGCTCAATGGCAGGTTGAAGTTTCTTTCTGTTTCGTTGCATCTCAGAAGGAGAAATTGGAGAGATGCAACGCGATGTTGTACCTCAGCACCTTGCCAACAGCTTTGGTTGTCCGTGAATATTGGTCCTTGAAGAATTCAGAGCTTGTTTCTTGAACTTCTTGCTTGTTCATCTTTGCGAATGGTGGCAAATTTTGTATGAATGTTTTCAAGGACATCTTGTTGGATTCATCTTGTGGAAGAGAGTTCTCGACCTGACTTTCTGGTCTCTTTACACTCGAATCTTCCACGTTCTCCTTCACGTTCTCCTTCACAGACGCTTTGCAGTCTGCAGAGATGTTTGGCCCCGCAGCTTCGCTCAAGATCTGATCGATAGATCGAGGAGGTAAATCGTGGAATTTCTCTGCCTCCTTGGTCTTTTCGAATCCATTGTCTTGTTGCATTGGTTTCTTGTTGAAATGTTCATGATGATAGATGTCATCGGCATTTTGCTGTTTGTTCTCATAATGTTCCTTCAAGCGAACGCTACAATCTATTCTGAAAGATCTCCTCTCAAACCTGCTCCCTGACTGCAACAAACTTCGTTTCACTACCGTTTGCAGCCGTCGGATCATTTTTTTGTGTTATTTGCAGTGATCGAAGTAAAGAATCCCACGAGTTATGAAGATATTCTGTCACTTTCAAACACACGCACACATAGGTCTTCCTATTATCTCTCCCTTCTTCGCTCTCTCCCTTCTCCTCCCCCCCTTCTCTCACTATCTTTTTTCTTCGTCATTTTCTACTTTTTCGCCGCCATGGAATCGGGGCAACGGGGGTCGAATTGAACATTCTGGGGTGGTATATCATTTCGAAATACAATTAGGGGTGGGGTACACAATGTAGGGGTACTTCTGTTTTTCAATCACTTACTACCAGTCAAGGAAATGTCATGTTCAGCGAAAAGTAGGGGTAGTCTCTCCTTATGGGGGTAGGATACCTGAAAACTAGTGAGTGAAATTGGGTGAGGGTAACCGAGTCCTTGAAAATCATGGGTGGGGTACTTTGCTTACATCGTGGGTGGGGGTCCTCTGGACTGAGCGAGGTTTGAGGCATTGGTGGGTATTCAGCAGAGGAAAAAGGGGTACATGAAACGTAGTGGGGTGGGGACATGTTGACCACAGGGTTCATGAGTTTGGATCAAGGGGTAGGGGTATTGACAATGAGGTGGGGGTAGTCAATGCCAGCTAGGGTGCAATAACCTACCCCATTGCTAAACTTGTAGCTTTTATGAATATGAGGGGTAAAAGTATCACTAGCTCAAAAAGTTGTTGGTAGGGGTACTAATTCCGACACTCTACCAGGTGGGGTGATGGTGCACAAATGGTGCCTGGGGTGGGGGGTGGTGGAGATTCGCGGATCATGGCGGCCGCTGCGAAGTTCACGATGGCGATGGCGATGGCGATGGCGATGGGAACCGAGGTGATGAGGATGGAGAGGAGGCTCAAGATGAAGAGAGTGTACGAACAAGATGCGCATGGCTGAGAGAAGAGCATGATTTTGATAGAAGAAAGTGGAAGGATTATGCTAATTAAGACACTGTGTTACACGAGCTAGGGAATGAGGCTTGTAGAAGGAAGGGATCCCAGTGCATATAAGCTGAAGATGGAAGATGGATAGAGAGATGCAAGAAGGTAGGAAGGAAAGGATACGGAATGAGAAGATGTGAAGAAGGGCATGGCAGAGTCGTTTCTCTCTGAGAAATTGGAATGTTCTCCAGTTGCATTATGCGAGGATGAAAAATGTTACAGAAGAGCGTGAAACAGTCTGGCTGGTCTGTTCAGATGGATGAGGGATAGCAAGTAGCGCAGAGAACACAAATGATGATGAAGGAGAGAAGTGACTACTGCCATGACACTGGTGACAGGCTTTTGTCGGGGTGACTCGTTTCTCGACTACACTTGCAGTCCCATCTTCTTCCCTGCAGCTGGGCTTCCGTGAGGTGAGAGGAGGAAGATTATGAAAGAGAAGGAGGAGGATGAGGAAGGGGAGGGAGAAGAGGGGGGTTACGATGGGGATGGCAATTACGAAGATGATGATACTAAGCTGGTTTCTGACTCATCCAACGCAGAGGCATCCGCTTCGTCTGGCTCCTGTCTCTGCCAGGAGGGATCGAGTAGCGAAGCAGGACATCAGCATGAACATTGTCAAGGAGGGAGCGCTCAGAGTTGTCTCGTAAGTTCTCACTTTCTAGTTGACTTCTACCATTCTTTTTGCCCTAGTATGAATGTTTCAAACTTTCTTGTTGAGAAAGAACGACGAGCAAGTCTGAATTGTGCACACAGATGCCTGCCTTACATTCTCCCTATGATGGACTCTCTGAGCTATGGTCGTTTCCTCTTCCAGAAGGTGCGTGTGAGTGCTTGCAGGGAGCGCGTCCTGACGTGAATCTTCAAGATCCCCCTCTTGGCTTTCATCTTCATGAAGCCGCTGCAGCCATTCGTCGAGCTTGCACAGGTAACAGCAGACGAGGATGAGGAAAGGAGGAGGATTGGAGAGGAGAGACGAGAAGGGGGAAGGAGAAGGTAGGAGTAGAGGGCAGAAGAGGAAAGCAGATGGGAACAGCGAAGTGGAGGGGAGCAGGAGGGGTGCGGGATGCTCTTTGCGTTGGATGATACTTTGCTGCAAGGCCTTCCCCATGATCTCCTTCGTCGCTTTCCTCGGCCTCTTCCTCTTTGTCGTTCGCAACCGCAAAGTTCCTCGCTTCATCCGGTAGCCTCCTCCTCGAGCTGCCGGGGGAGCTTGTGACATGTTTGCGGCAGCTTCAACACGATGCAGGCACTGCTGCTGGAGATCCTCTTGATCTTTCCTCAGATCCTCACGAGCGGCAACATGGGTGGCCTCATCCCCTTCGTCTTCACCGAGTTCGTCTCCAACATGACCTTCTATGCCATTGCCGCCATCGTTGGTGAGGAAGAGGCGATGTGGAGGAAGAGCTACGGGATTGGAGGAGGGAGGAGGAGGGGAGGGAGAGGAGAGGAAAGGAGAGGAGAGGAGGAGGGGGGATGGGGAGGGGATCTTGTTCAGCATGCCTCGAGGTTGAGACCTAACACTGTCATAGGGTACTCCTGCATCTCCAACCTCCGCGGGGAGCTGCCTTGCAAGATCCCGGTACATTCTCACTGCCCTTTCAATGCTCCGTTCCTCCCTCACTTCCTCCTCCTACTGCCCTGCTCCTCTGCCGGTCTTTATTGGTCTGACTCTTTCCTACAGGTCATCTCCACTGCTGTCTTCCAGCAGATCGGAGGAGGAGCTGGATTCGACGACTAGATGTTTCTTCTCTTTCACTTCACGAGCATTTCACATACACTCTAAAGACATCACCTTTCCCTCTGCATCCCCCCCCCCCTCCGCCCCTCCTGTTGTATCCTCTTGTCCTGCCCTCTCTCTTGCCCTTTCCTCCCCGACTTCTTCCTCCTAGTTCTACGACACAAGGAAGTACTCCTCGTCCGTGCACGAAACCAATCCTTTCCCCAGCAGCCCGTCGAGCCACTCGTGTACCTGCTGCATGTGAGCTGGGCCCTTCAGTCATGTGCTGACGTCACCTGTCTTGGCTTCACCTCCACCTCGTAGGTCTCGTGCAGTTGTCGGATGATGTCATCAACAGTCACGCCCTGGAGGAGAAGCAGTGAGGTGCAGAGAGGGAGAGGGAAGTAAGAAGGAAGGAGGGAGGAGAGAGAAGGGAGGAGGGATAGTAAGGGCAAGAAAGAAGGAGAGGGTCAAGACTAGAAGAGAGAGGAATGAGTCGACTCTGAAGGTGAGACAAGGGGAGGGCAGGATGAGCTTCGGTTCACATTTTGCTCTCCTTTCGTCTGCGAGATCGAATAAATGACCTCTAGCACCTACCAATGAATGTCAGCTCATCACCAGAGCTTTGCTCAAGCTTATCTCTTCCCCTCCTCCTCCTCTTCCTCCTCCTCCTCACCTCGTCCTCCATGTGTATGGTTTCTTCTACTGCAGAGACTGAGGGGATGGAGAATCAAATGCAATCCGTTCCCTCCTCCTTCACACCTTCGTTCCCTCCTTGTGCTGTCCCCGCTGTCCCCCAGTCAGACTCCATCGGCTTCCGATCGATTTCTGCCGACGAAGGGGATTTCTTCTCGAATTGCTGAAGAAACGCTTGGCAAGCTTCGTCTGTCTGCAAGACCTGGATGCTGGCAGTAAGGACGGGGAGTGTCGGAGGAGGGTTGGGAGTATACAGCAGCAGGAATTCCTTCCTGGTGCTTCTGGGCGAAGTAAACAGACTGAGAGAAGGCGTCAGAGCAACCAGAGGTGGTCAAGTTAGGAGACGAAGAGGCTGTAGGGTTGAGAAGAGGATTGCAGGGGGAAAAGTGAGATACCAATTAGGCAAATGGGAGATGCTGTTTATGGGGAGTGAGTGAGTGAGTGAGTGAGTTGGCGAAGGAGAAGGAGGGGAAGTAGAGAAGAGAGGAGGAAGGGCAGTTGCGAGGTTTTACCTTGAGCAAATTCTGCACTGAGGGTTTTCCGGAGCTGGTTGGGCGCGTCACGCAACACCGCGAGGAGGAAGACAAGACCTCTCGTCGGACGACAGAGAAGAAATCAAAGATTGAATTCCAACGTTTTGCTGAGAAACAGAGAATGATGACATGAAAAAGTTTGAGTTCGGAGGAGTGAGGAATGAAAGAAAGGGGAGCGCAACTCAGGCAAGAATACTCGTCACGTACAGGATTTGAAAACAAGGTCCCTTGAGATCTTCGCCTCTTGACCTGAGTGAATCAAATCATCCCCTACTAACATTTGCAACGCCCTGCCTCCCTTTAGCTCGTCTTTACCCCCTGCCATTTCCCATCTCCCGCCTCTCGAACCTACCGCAACGGCATTGTCGATCCATCGAGACATAGTATCCTGAGACAGACTCAACCATCTCACCTTCCTCTTCTCCCCACTTTCCCTCCCTCCCACCCTCCCTCCCTCCCTCCATGCATACATCCTTTCCTTCTCTCCATCCTACTCGCCCCCCTTCTGCCACCGATCTCCTCACCCTTTGCACCATCGCCTCCCGTGGAAGGGGAATCCCAGTTTGCAGCGAGAGGGTCTGAGCATATCTTGGAAGAAACAATCACAAGAGAGTTCAGGAGAAGGATGGAAATACTGCAGCTGTCGCGGAGTCGGTTCAAGAATTTCTCCCACATCGTTGTCATCTCTGAAGAAAGCGATCCTCAGCTTTTCATCATCACCAACATGATTGTTGTTGTTGTCGTCCCTATCTACATCTTTCATCCATCCATCAATTACTTCCTCTCCACCATGAACGCCATCGCCACCATCACCACAAGACTCTCGCCTGTTTGTTTTAATCGCCGGATCTTCGTTAGATGATAGTGGGTGTGATTGATAGTTCTGCAAGAAACGCAGGGATCTAAGGAGATGCAGTACAAACGATCATGCAGCTCATCCTGCTGCTCACCTGTGACCTGCTCTGCGAAAGCTTCATGTCTGATTCTTCCTTCAACTGTCAACAACATTTCACATAGTCAATGTCCCATTTTCTGTTATCATCAGCGCTCACCCAACTTATGACTCTGGAGCACTCTGATTTGGAGTTATAGGCCTGCACGGGGACCTCCACACCCTGAACACATCAGCCGTAAGAAGCGAACAATACGCCGATGGATCACAGACCATTCTTTCAGCTAACAGCTTCACGAACGCAAGTTGTTTCGCTGAAGATTCGTCATCAAGAAACAGGTCGTGACCGATTCATGAACATCTCTGAACCTGTAGGTGGAGAGTCTATGATAACTGGTTGCATGCTGGCGGACTGGTCCTCATCGAATTGTGATCCATCACCTATGAGAAATGGGGTGATCGATTGTAGGCAGAATAAGCAAACAGCAGGAACCTACCTACTGACGAACTCTGAGAGCGAAACAATGCCCTCCCCATGATTGCTTCGAATTTTCGTGGCGGAGATGCTGCAAGGACATAAGTCAAAGTACAATCTGCCGCGTCAGAGGCGACAAGCAGGAGGAGCAACAGCAGGAATACTTGAGGAGCTGGATCTCTTGTTTTCACCTGTCGCTCGAAACTTTCCGCCTGATGGCAGGAGTTGACACGTCTTCTGCTTGAGGACGAGACGTCCTGTGACCGCTGAACACACCGTTGCTTTCACTGTCGCTCCTCCTGCTCCTCCTAGCCACCATCCCCGCATCGCAAGCATTGTGTCCCCTGCTTCTACCCCTGGTAGCAATGTGGGGCAACGGGGGTACATGAATATCGCAGGGGTACCTTGAGTGACAGCCAGAGGGGTACTTCGTGCTTGGAGACCCCACGGCCAGGCCCATTGGGTGGGGACAATGGGGGTGGGGGTAGGGGAAGAAACAGGGGGCACAGGGACATGACATGCAAAAAATGCTCTGAAGAGGCTTGAGGATGCGAGGAGGAGAAGGGGGGGAGGGGGGAGGGGGGGAGGAGGAGGAGGAGGAGGAGGAAGATTCATGATCAAGATCCGATCAAGATGAGTGTGATGAGGATAGGAAGCATGTTAGAAACTCGATCGGGGAAGGTTGCAAGAATGAGAACGAGATATATAAACGAGTCCTGCAACCAACGATGATGGTACTGTGAACGGAGATGGCAGTGATGAGATGCGGGAATAGTCCAGTGAATTCGTGACTCGCAATATTCTGCAGAACCATCGTACATCCTGTATCGTATGCATCACCCTCAAACATGAGAAGTGGCGACGACAAGATTTACGAAAAATCCTCGCTGCTTCCGACCACAGTGAGTTAAATTTCACACAACAACAACATGCTGAGCAAGTTCCTTCCCAGGCATCGCTGAATAGCAAGAGAGTTGCGATCGGAGCAGCTGTGATCACCCTAGTCATCGTGATAGCTGTCCTGGCCTTGACCTCCTCTTCATCCAATGGCGCCTCCTCCGTCCCACTACAGGATGATACCAAAGCAGGGGGCTACCTCAAGGACGGCAAGGAGTTCTCCATAGGAGCAGTCAGCTCAACCCATTTTCTCGCCTCTGAAGCAGGGTACCAGACTCTGAGGGAGGGAGGAAACGCTGTGGATGCCGCGGCGGTCATGCAGTTTGTTCTCAATGTGGTTCAGCCGCAGTCGACAGGGATAGGAGGCGGGTGTTTCGTGCTGCTCTACAACTCGAGCACGGGAGAAGCAAGCGCGTTGGACGGGAGGGAAGAGGCTCCTTCCTCCTTCCACGAGAACGCGTTCTGTGGCGATGCCGCATGCGGGGTTGGGCCTTGCAACTGCACAGGAGGGTTGATGGGGACGTACAGCGAGAGAGTAGGGAGCGGGTTTGCGGTCGGAGCTCCGGGAGTCGTGGCGGCGATGGAGAAAATGCTGGAGGAGAAGGGGACGATGAAGTTGTCTGAGGTTGTGAAGCCAGCGGTCAAGCTCGCTAGAGACGGGTTTCCAATGTATGAACATCTCCGCAGTAAGATCCAGGTTGTTGTTGTTGAGGAGGGAGGGAGGGGGAGGGAGGGGAGGAGAGGAGAAGTTGTCAGAGGTGGTGGTGGAGAAGGAGGGAGAGGATTGGTGGCGGCGAGGAAGGAGGAGGAGGAGGAGGAGGAGGAGGAGGAGGAGGAGGAGGAGGAGGAGGAGGAGGAGGAGGAGGAGGAGGAGGAGGAGGAGGAGGAGGAGGAGGAGGAGGAGGAGG